ATCACTATGTATTGCGTTACATTCAGTCAGACGATATTAGCGACTTTTTAAGACTGAATTTATTGTAGGAAAATTCAATAAACTGTCAAAACTGATACTTAACATGTTTAACGTGAGGTACTTGAACCATAACAGAGGGATTTACATTTCAATGGTGAAAACAAAACCCATGGCACACTGCTGCCAACTAGCGGTTGGCGTTTGAATTGCACCACAAGAAAAGAAAATACTCAAACGTTTGCATGCAAATTATTCCAAAAATTAGATACACGGCTTTTGAATGTCGATGTAGCATAGCAGGAGAAAAGATCACGATGTATTGCGATATCGATATTTTCGATACAAGGCTTTTGATTATCGATGTAATATCACAGGAACAAATATCACCGTATAATGCCATGTTGATATTTTCTTACACCCTTACTTGAAACAGACTTGGTAGTCCAGTGGTTAGAGTAACTGACTAGTATGCTGTTTTGCACCGGTTTGACTCTTGGTCTCAGCAGTAAATTTTTTTCTATTTTTTAGCTACACTTGCCAGTACTATGTTTTCAACCCTTCATTGGTAAACTGTTTAAAATGTAAGGACTATGCTGTTTTTTTTACTTTCTTTCTGTGTCTTTATTTAGCCAGTGTGAGTCCATGTGAGGTGAGCAGAGTATCAACCAAAATGCTGCTTTGAAATAACCAAGTTCAAGACCTTTAGAGCCACAAAATATTTTGTAGAAAATAATCAATAAAGTTAAACGTAAAAAAATCTGCTTCAGCTGGCTATAATAAGTTATTGCTGACACTGGGAGTCGAACTGGCATCAGCACGTAGTAAAACTTGATGAAAGACAGATGGCTTTACCACTAGACCACCATAGACAATACAACATCCACTTGCCTAAAATACAGTTGTAGGCACGTTTTGTTGGAGCAGAAGTGGGTAGAGATTCACCAAAACAGACCGTTTCATTTCCGGGTATAAATTCAGGCACAAGAAAATAACTCATATTTAAGATTGAATGGCATCTCAGTAGTGTCACTGGTAATATTTATCATATACTGTGCCTACATTTACTCTCAAACATTTAAAATAGCATGATCTTGCTCCTTTAAAGTGTATTTTTAAAACAAAAAGTACCTTCTCCTACCCACAATAATCTTAATCTGATTCAGAGCTCTAAATTTTCCCAGAAACTTGAACTTAAAGCACACCCCATGGGGGGTTTTATATGACGTCTACAGTAGAAATTCTCTTCCTGGTAGAAAAACCAACACAGACACATGTTTTCAATTTCTCCTATGCAAGGGGACAATTAGGAAGCTCCAAAGCCAACTGGAAGCAAAAATAAAAATAAAACGTAGAAACCATGACACTATGATATCACTGGGAAAGTGAAGAGGAAAATAGTGAGCTGGTGGAACGACATTCAAATTCAAGCAATGTGGGGAAACTGGGAAGCTGTTTTCTACCATTTTAGCCCAGACCGATTTCAGCTTATTACAGTAAAAATGCATGCTACTGCTGCATCACTCTGTGATGCACATGCAATGCAAATTGATGGAAAAACTTACACAAAGTACACTTTTCTGTGCAGACCCTAAACCGGAGTCTCTCAGGTGATAACCCACATTCTAATCCTGGAAAATGTGCCACTAAATGGGTTGAGATCACACAAGGAACATCACAGAGCAGCTCCAGGAAACCAGACGCAGAGATGTGGCAGAAACACCACAAACGTTACTGGTGTCCAGTTTAAAGATCTCACAGGTGAGGTATAAATGATAAAATATGAAAGGATGTGATATTCAGAACATAATGAATTACAGGCCGATATTAATAGTTAATGGCGTTTTTAGCCCCATTGACTTGCATTCATTGTTTTGTTCTTCCGGGCACCCATGGTCCGGAAGTAGATGGGCGTGACTTAGGCTCCCCAGACAAGCAGAGGCATCAAATATTGCATGCATGGATGCCTTGGATGGCAGTGAGGATGACAGTCAATCGGAGGAGCCAGCAGGTGTAGCAATATGATGGTGCACCCCGCAGCAGTACGAGAGTGAGCACAGCGAGGCAGAATAAAAGCCTCATTTGACTTTGGATTTCACATGTCAGCAAAGCTCTGATAGTTTGCATTAAAATAGTATTTTTGATCAGTATTTGTTCTCAAATTTTCAATAAAAATAGTTTATTTAAAAAGTGATTTTTTTTCTTTTTTTCCCTGAAGGGGGTCGTCCTATATTCGGGTCGATACGATATGTGCGCTGGTGTCATCTTCCTAGATCTTACCAAAGCATTTGATCTAGTTGATCATTTCCTTCTCCGTGATAAACTGCATGCTATTGGCAGCTCTAAATCCTCACTTTAATGGTTCAGTTCCTACCTTCATCTTCATTGTCAGTGTGTGTCCGATAGGGGTAGCCAGTCTGAATATAAAGGCTTAAATAAAGGTATTCCTCAAGGTTCCTCTCTTGGACCTTTATTATTTTCACTAATGACCTTCCGCTCATCTGTGCAGATTGTAATATTCATCTCTATGCGGATGACACTATTATTTATTGTGTTAAAGCCTACGTCACACTGGAGGCATCAGCGGCGTGGAACGGACGCTGCTTGAAATATATGCAGTGTTTTTGATTTTGGTGATTATTTATTCATTACTATCATTATTGGGTTTTTATTCTTTCTTTCTTTATTTCTTTCGTTAATTGTACAGGTGCTGGCCAGTAAATTAGAATATCATCAAAAGGTTGAAAATATTTCCGTAATTCCATTCAAAACGTGAAACTTGTACATTATATTCATGCAATGCACACAGACCAATGTATTTCCAATGTTCATTACATTTAAATTTGATATTCATAAGTGACAACTAGTGAAAACTCCAAATTTGGTATCTCAAAAAATTAGAATATTCTGAAAAGGCTGAATATAGAAGACACCTGCTGCCACTCTAATCAGCTGATTTACTCAAAACACCTGCAAAGGCCTTTAAAAGGTCCCTCAGTCTTGTTTTGAAGGCACCACAATCATGGGGAAGACTTCTGACTTAACAGCTGTCCAAAAGACAATCATTGACACCTTGCACAAGGAGGGCAAGACACAAAAGGTGATTGCTAAAGAAGCTGGCTGTTCGCAGAGCTCTGTGTCCAAGCACATTAACAGACAGGCGAAGGGATGGAAAAAATGTGGTAGAAAAAAGTGTACAAGCTCTAGGGATAACCGCACCCTGCAGAGAATTGTGACGACAAACCCATTCAAAAATGTGGGGGAGATCCACAAAGAGTGGACTGCAGCTGGAGTCAGCGCTTCAAGAACCACCACGAGGAGACTCATGAAAGACATGGGATTCAGGTGTCGCATTCCGTGTGTCAAGCCACTCTTGAACATGAAACAGCGCAAGAAGCGTCTCGCCTGGGCCAAGGACAAAAAGGACTGGACTGATGCTGAGTGGTCCAAAGTTATGTTTTCTGATGAAAGCAAGTTCTGCATTTCCTTTGGAAATCAAGGACCCAGAGTCTGGAGGAAGAGCGGAGAAGCACAGAATCCACGTTGCATGAGGTCCAGTGTAAAGTTTCCACCGTCAGTGATGGTGTGGGGTGCCATGTCATCTGCCGGTGTTGGCCCACTCTGTTTCCTGAGGTCCAGGGTCAATGCAGCCGTCTACCAGGAAGTTTTAGAGCACTTCATGCTTCCTGCTGCTGACCAACTTTATGGGGATGCAGACTTCACCTTTCAACAGGACTTGGCACCTGCACACAGTGCCAAAACCACCAGCACCTGGTTCAAGGACCATGGTATCCCTGTCCTTGATTGGCCAGCAAACTCGCCTGACCTTAACCCCATAGAAAATCTATGGGGTATTGTGAAGCGGAAGATGCAATACGCTAGACCCAACAATGCAGAGGAGCTGAAGACGACTATCAGAGCAACCTGGGCTCTCATAACACCTGAGCAGTGCCACAGACTGATCGAGTCCATGCCACGCCGCATTACTGCAGTTATTGAGGCAAAAGGAGCCCCGACTAAGTATTGAGTGCTATACATGCACATTCTTTTCATGTTCATTCTTTTCAGTTGGCCAACATTAGAGAAACAAACATTTTTTCATTGGCCTTTAGAATATTCTAATTTTCTGAGATACCAGATTTGATGTTTTCATTGGTTGTCACCTATAAATATCAAAATTAAACGTAATAAACATCGGAAATACATTGGTCTGTGTGCATTGCATGAATATAATGTACAAGTTTCACGTTTTGAATGGAATTACTGAAATATTTTCAACCTTTTGATGATATTCTAATTTACTGGCCAGCACCTGTATGTGCTAACGGCTGCCTTCTGCTGCTTTTACATTCGCTTTTGTTTAAGAGGTCACCCATGAAAACAAGGTGGCACATCTCATGGAGTCTCACCTCTTTAAAGAAAAGTCAAACAAATAGTTTTGGAACACAATTTGACGCTTTTACTGATTACATAATAAAATGTCAGTCTAACGTGGTTACGGAGGTTAGATAATCTGAACAGTTTCTGCACATTTCAAGCATTTGGAAGCTAATCACAAATTTTTATCATTTATTTTATTTCTAACTTTGACGCCATATACTTATATATATATAGTTTCTCATAGAAGGACTAATACGTTATGTCGTCTTTATTATAAAATAACTACCCAACTAACAGATCAAACAAACAAACTGTGCTAATGGAAGAAGCCTTTCTGTGGCAGAGGTGAATCATAAACCACCACAAAGGTAATGTGTAGCCAGGATTAGGTCTGAGAGTTCAAATTTTAAAGACATCTGTCTTTCTTCCAACAAAGTTGAGTAAACGATCAGCATTCAGAAGAGCAGAAAGTTCTGCAACTCCACTTAGACTTGTGAAAATAGAATTGCTCGTTCTGCTGAAAAAGAAACAGGATGAACGTTTGAATGATCTCTGCAGACCTCCTGACTTGAAAGTTTGCAGATTAGCTCCTCTCCTGCTTAGGAAGTAAAAACAGCACTCACATAGATGAGACCGGAGTAGTAGCGGTCCTTCAGGTTGTGCAGCACCGACGCCTCGTTCAGGCAGGTGAGCTCAGCCATGTCCTCCACCTTGCTGAACTTGGGTGGGTTCATCTTCTGGATGTCATCCTTGTTGATCACCACCTTCTTACAGTTCTCCGCCAGCTCCACGAGCACCTCCTCGCCGCGCTCCTCTCGGATGCTGGCGGCCTCAAAGCCATGGCGCTCTGAGGGGACCCACACCAGCTTCTTGGCCGTCCAGTCAGCCTGCGTGGCTGGGTTGTACACAAAGGCACGGTCCACAAACAGGTACCGCTCCGGGTCCTCCTGCCCTCCCCGATGAGACATCTTACTTGGGATTCACAAGAGCCAAGTGTCCACCTACAACGGGAAAGGTAGTAGACTTTACATAGCAATCTTTACATGGCGTTGTAGGTGTTTCACTACAGTTTTGCTGTTTATCTTAGAGTACTTTGACACAAAATAACCCAAAAACATTCAGACATCAAGTTATTTTAGACAGTGCACTGGTTTCCTAAACAATCACTAGAAATTCTAATTCATGCCTTCATCATCTCTAGACTAGTCTAGACTACTGTAATTCTGTCTATGCAGATGTGAGCCAGAAGGCCACTGTGAGACTCCAGAACAGTGCAGCCCGTTTACTGACGAGTACACCAAGGCGGGCACACATTACCCCAGTTTTGGCATCCCTCCCTTGGCTTCCAATCAATTATAGAATTAACTTCAAAATTCTACTGCTTGCATATAAGGCCCAGAACAGCATTGCTCCTGCATTCATGAGATCCAAGCTTAATGATAATATCTATAGATCTATCCATCCATCATTGGAGCTTCACTCACACATATGATGCACTTTATATAGATATATATACATATATTTACATACATATATATACATACATACATATATATATATGTATATGTATACATACTAGGGGTTGTATGAACTAGTCGACTAGTCGGGCTCACTGCTCTGTAGTGACTTTTTATGCCAGTCATCGACTAGTCGCTGTCACGTGACAATGACAAGATGCAGTCCTCGGAAAAGATCGAGGTGGAGGCGACGCGCTGTGCCAGAGCATTGGTACTGATACCCGCCGTAAAACGGACATTTAACCAAATTGTGACCTTTTCCCTCTTGCAATTTAACCTTCCCCTCACCCCATCCTAATCTTAACCAGCTTGCGCATGCAAAGCTGTGGTCGTTAACGTGCTCCAGACATCTGCGTCCTGAGCACAGCCACAGTAGCTTTATCAAATCAGGTGTCGCCGCCTCAAAAACAAATGTAACGCGATCGTTCATGTCGGCTCATTTCCTTTTATGTTTTCTGTCTTTTATTTTTGCCTGATGCACCCCGCTGCTGTGGAGCGGACCACATCATCTGTTATGTCCTCCGGTGACGCACTGCGGCCGGCGAGCAGCTCGCACGCCGCTGTTTTTGCGGTCGGTGGATCTTTTAGAACTGCAGTTCAAAGGTAACTCATAAGGTGAATATATATGAACCCAGGTAGCAGTTTTTCTTTAGGATTGCAAGGAGATGCAGGAAGATAATAAACAGACAGGACAGAAAAATAGTCAAATAAAAACAAATTTGTTTTTGTACCTGGTGGTTGCAACAAACAGACACCACTGACGGTAATCAGAAGTGAGGAACAGAAAATGAAATAATTATTTTAATGTTTAGAGCAGCAGGAACTTCGAGAGGCTGCAGGCGCATCAATGAGTTTGTGGCCGTGGCGCGGGGGGGGGGGGGGGGGGGGGGAGCAGAAATTACCGTTGTTAAAAGAGATGTGTTTAACTTTGAAAATGTGGGCACAATTTTAATTGTCAAAAACTCCAGCGAACCAACTGACCCCCCCGCCGCCGCTTCAGGTGTATGATGTCATCAACGACTAGTCGAAGTCAACTAGATTTTCATTACTTGACTGTCGACTTTTAAAAAATTAGGTCATGCAACCCCTAATACATACATATGTATACATACATATATATATATACATATATACATACATATACAGGTGCTGGCCAGTAAATTAGAATATCATCAAAAGGTTGAAAATATTTCAGTAATTCCATTCAAAACGTGAAACTTGTACATTATATTCATGCAATGCACACAGACCAATGTATTTCCGATGTTTATTACATTTAATTTTGATATTTATAGGTGACAACTAATGAAAACTCCAAATTTGGTATCTCAGAAAATTAGAATATTCTAAAGGCCAATGAAAAAATGTTTGTTTCTCTAATGTTGGCCAACTGAAAAGAATGAACATGAAAAGAATGTGCATGTATAGCACTCAATACTTAGTCGGGGCTCCTTTTGCCTCAATAACTGCAGTAATGCGGCGTGGCATGGACTCGATCAGTCTGTGGCACTGCTCAGGTGTTATGAGAGCCCAGGTTGCTCTGATAGTCGTCTTCAGCTCCTCTGCATTGTTGGGTCTAGCGTATTGCATCCTCCGCTTCACAATACCCCATAGATTTTCTATGGGGTTAAGGTCAGGCGAGTTTGCTGGCCAATCAAGGACAGGGATACCATGGTCCTTGAACCAGGTGCTGGTGGTTTTGGCACTGTGTGCAGGTGCCAAGTCCTGTTGAAAGGTGAAGTCTGCATCCCCATAAAGTTGGTCAGCAGCAGGAAGCATGAAGTGCTCTAAAACTTCCTGGTAGACGGCTGCATTGACCCTGGACCTCAGGAAACAGAGTGGGCCAACACCGGCAGATGACATGGCACCCCACACCATCACTGACGGTGGAAACTTTACACTGGACCTCATGCAACGTGGATTCTGTGCTTCTCCGCTCTTCCTCCAGACTCTGGGTCCTTGATTTCCAAAGGAAATGCAGAACTTGCTTTCATCAGAAAACATAACTTTGGACCACTCAGCATCAGTCCAGTCCTTTTTGTCCTTGGCCCAGGCGAGACGCTTCTTGCGCTGTTTCATGTTCAAGAGTGGCTTGACACACGGAATGCGACACCTGAATCCCATGTCTTTCATGAGTCTCCTCGTGGTGGTTCTTGAAGCGCTGACTCCAGCTGCAGTCCACTCTTTGTGGATCTCCCCCACATTTTTGAATGGGTTTGTCGTCACAATTCTCTGCAGGGTGCGGTTATCCCTAGAGCTTGTACACTTTTTTCTACCACATTTTTTCCGTTCCTTCGCCTGTCTGTTAATGTGCTTGGACACAGAGCTCTGCGAACAGCCAGCTTCTTTAGCAATCACCTTTTGTGTCTTGCCCTCCTTGTGCAAGGTGTCAATGATTGTCTTTTGGACAGCTGTTAAGTCAGAAGTCTTCCCCATGATTGTGGTGCCTTCAAAACAAGACTGAGGGACCTTTTAAAGGCCTTTGCAGGTGTTTTGAGTAAATCAGCTGATTAGAGTGGCAGCAGGTGTCTTCTATATTCAGCCTTTTCAGAATATTCTAATTTTTTGAGATACCAAATTTGGAGTTTTCATTAGTTGTCACTTATGAATATCAAATTTAAATGTAATGAACATTGGAAATACATTGGTCTGTGTGCATTGCATGAATATAATGTACAAGTTTCACATTTTGAATGGAATTACTGAAATATTTTCAACCTTTTGATGATATTCTAATTTACTGGCCAGCACCTGTATACATATCATGTATATGTATATATATATATATATATATATATATATATATATATATATATATATATATATATATATATATATATCAAACGAGTATTTATGCCATATCTTGCCAACCTATAAAAGCTTGCGCCACTCTTCTGCCACCCCTATTTTTTTCCTAGGTTCGCCCATGGCGAGAGGTTCAGCGTAGGTCTTTGACTACACCAGAAAATGCGCATACAGCGTGGGCTTTAGCGCAAAACATAACGGGACTGAGCGGAGTCGTTAATGCCCGAAGACCTCGCTGTGTAGATATAAACACCAGTGTGAATAAACATGTATTTAAATTACAGTAATATCTAGTAATAAAACATGCTCAATGCGAAGCTGATTTAGAGTAGGAACGAGTGAATTAAAGGGAAAGACGCTTCAGTTCGAACAGAAAGGTAAAAAGCCAAACTTTTAGGTTTATTCTGCTGTTTTTAAACAGCGGACCGTTACTTTAGTTAACCACGGGGGTTAACCATCAGCGACATCACTTAAATGTATAAATGAGGGTTAATCTCAGATTAAATCATGTCCAACAGAAGTAATTTAAACCGTGATTCCACAGGAGGCGGGCTCACGCGCTCCAACACCGTTCCAGCTCGCGCTCGCCAACTGACCTGCTGGAGTTCTTCAGGTCAGATCCCGTTCACCGTCCCCTTAACGCGAAGCCTGGACTCGAGTCGCTGCTCCCCGGAGCTCACACGCGGGCATGTACCTCTGGCTTCGGCTGCGTGCAGCACGACTGGAGCTCCTCCTCGAGCCGAGCGGAGCGGACCGCACCGCCGCTGCTCCCGCCTACCGCGCGCACCTACACTCTGAGCACGCAGATCAACCCCCCCGCAGTCCGGAGCCCGCTTCGGTGACTCAGAGGTGCGTTAAGGACCACCAGTCCAGGTGCGTGCCCACGCCTGTCCCACACACACGAGAACCACAGTGAACACTTCTAAACAGGACAGCGACACGAACGCGCCTCTTCCATCTATCACTAAAATACCTATGCGGCGCGCGCACGCGCTGGATGCAGCTCTGAGTGTGCGGTCTCTCCTCATCCTTCATTGGATGCTGTTAAAGAAAAACCAACAAACCCTAAAGTGTTTCAAACTAAACACCAAGAACGTGAAACTTTCTGCTCTTCACAACAACACAAACCAGCTTTTTGTTCTGCTGAGAGGTTTTATTACAAATGGAAGCAGCCACACACGAGCAAAGAAAGCACTTTAAATAGTCACCCGGTTCTAAAGAGAACGGCTGCTGTAGCCGTCAGGAGCTACGACAAACAGGAAAGACATCGCGTCTCGTGGTTTATGTACATTTTATGACTG